CAGTGATCGACCATATGTCTCCTTTACCAATAGACATTCCTGGAATACGAGTGTTCTCTCGCATTCGTCAATTCTAGAATCTTTATAACCAAATTTATGATTTAAATTCCGTCTCCGCAGAGAGTGTTCAGCACTTTCAATCAACACGGATAACCTTTAGTTACTATTATCTGAACGGGAGCTCAACAAACCGAAGATTGCTGACAAAATTACATTCAGAAATATTAAGATAGCTGCGACGGAACAAAGGTATCCTGGTTACTAGGTCTGATAGAGAAATGGTGTCGTTATAATGAATAGAGCGGACTACATGAGGAAGACGCAAACGATCAGACGATACTCAAGAAATTAGGCAGATAAAAAGATTGCACGGACGAGGTAGACACAGTTGACTGACTGCTTAAAAAGACGCAGAAGGGGAGGTTTCATAAGCGACCGTGACTTCGAAAGCCTCCGACCAGTAGGCACTCACATCCCCCGATGGTATGGTCTACCAAAGATGCAAAAGAATGGCCTGCCAGTTCGTTCGATTCTGGACAGTTGCACCTCACGATATCATTGTTGACAACCAATTATACAGACGAATAGACTCTATTTATATGGGCTTGCCCCTTGAACCTCTCCTAGCTGACATATTCATGGGCATGCTGGAGAAATTTAAACTAATCGATCAGATCCACAAGGTAAAACGCCATGGTTGCTATGTTGATGACATCTTCGCGATTGCCGCAACCGAAACCGATGTAGACGCACTCTTAAATGCGGTCAACCAAACACATCCGTCCATTAGGGTCAGGTTGGCGATGGAAACGGCAGGTTCGTTTTCCTCCTTAGAGACCCTCCAAAGTCGCGGATCTGACGGTAACGTCCGAAGGAACGTTTATCAAAAAATCTGGTCTGGATAGTATACAAACTTTAACAGTTTCGTACCCCTCCATTATAAGCGAAATCTATTTCGCTGCTTAATGCAAAGGGCTATAAAAATTTCTCAGTGCACACTATTGAGGAGGAGCTCAAGAAAATTTAGGAACTTCTTCGCGGGAACGGGCATCCTGAAGGATTCATAACAAGGAATGTAGCTGTGAAACAAATAAAACCCGCCACACTTACTGTGGAAGAAAAACACTTTTCATCAAAGTTCCCTTTAGAGGGGACGCAGCAAGTGAACTCCTCAAAAGACGCCTTGGCCAAGCCGGGCCACGAACCTCCCCAACAATGGAAGTTTGGGTATTATTCTCAACCAACCCGGTCTTCCATGCGGAGTATAAGTATAGGTTACCAGGTCACACTAACTCCATGTGCATCTACTCCTTTACTTACTATTGTGGAGCAGGTTGTTTTGGTTGCACGAGTCGGAGCCTATCCAAAAGACTAAACGAACACATTCCGGTATGGCTGGGGAAAAGTTAAGTCAGGGGCATAAACAGGTCTATTCTGGCGCACATGGTTGATTCCGGACATCGTGTGGACCCCAACGAAGCCTTCCGGGTGATCTATAAGATCCCACCAAACTATTCAAAGTCCCTGGGTCAGTGCCTGCTAGCAACCGCGGAAGCGACCACTATCAGGTTGATGAAGCCGGCGTTGTATGCACAAAAACCTCCTACAAGCTCCGCGTCTGGCCCACAGTAACTAAGCTGCATGCATTCGTATGCGCCTTGTTTGTCTCCCTCCCCTCCCCCCCTTCTCTGGGCTGGCTCCACCAATCCCTGTCCTCATAACCAACCTCGTCTTATCGACCCCTCGCCCATATTCCCACGACTCACTTGTACGAAAAGACGAACACGTTTTAACTTGTATCCCGTTCTTATATAGAGCTGCCAACCCAACTATTCTCCTGAATTCTGTGATGGTAATATTCTCAGGCGTTGCCAAATTGTTTATTCTTACGACCATCCGAAGTTACGTATAACATTCACCGTCTGACCGAATAGTTGTTTTTTTTCGTAGTAAACATGGTCTAAAACCATGTGTATGCCTGACAAGTACGTTCAGTACATAACGTAAACACTACTATGAATAAGCTGTGTTTTTGAAGCCCATTGTGAAACGAAAAATCTGACTATCTTCATTAGATAGAAGAAATCGCAGTGGGCATTAGCATCTCCCTTTTGTACTCTGGAATGCTTTTTGGACTTTAGTTGCCTATAAGTAAAGGACCTTTGAGTTCTTTAGCGCGTTTAAAGTACTCTTAAATAAGCGAAACGAAAACTATCAGTACATTATGATCCTTCTACTTTAAGATTGCTCAATTACAAAGACGCTCGAGAGGTGTTCGACACAGCACTTGCTGACTACCCAGGAAACAATGAGCTCCTGTTCGCCCTCGCGAATCTCCTTGTCGATATTGGAGCTAAAAATCCCAGAAGGTATGGACAGAAGGAATTAAAAGAGGCGGCTGAGTTTTATCTTCGAGTCATCTCTTCAGAACCCGGAAACCTTGCAGCGCAGGTGGGACTAGCCAAGTGTCAACAAGTAAGCAACCTGCGGGCAGTGGAGAAACAGAAAACCAAAGAGCTGGCAAGACACGTTATTAGAATCTAGCCAAATTTAAAAATTATATCTTTTCTCTGCCGGCTAACCAAAAAAAGTGACATCATTGTGCATCAACTGAAAGTGCAATCTGTTTTTACGATCAATGCACTCTGCCAAAGCACATTCTTCGTACAGAAGGATATTCAATTAAATGGTTACTATTTACCTGCATAAAAACGTAATCAGTTACGAAAGTGACCCTTTGTAATCTATCCTTATACGTACTACAAACAGTGAATTTCAGATAATGTATGATCACTGAGATAGTGTAGGTCGATCGTGGCCAAAAAGTGATTTTAGCGGGTTACTGTTTTTTCTATAAATAAATTTGTGCGGGCACATGCTTCTTTGTAGCAATAGTAGTGATAAAGTACAAAAACATAAAAGTGACCTTAATGAATCGACGTTTTTTTGTCTTTCAGTTTTGAACTGCAGTTGTTTAACTCCGTCTAATTATGCTTCCCTAATTATTAGTAGAATGCCGTCGTTTGAAATGTAAGTAATGCCTACCCCACAGATAAAGATTTTAGGAGATTGCAAGACGATGATTCATGAATTTGGGAAGACGAGAATTTATGAGCGGTGCGTGCACTTCTCATTTATTATGTTGTTAAAGCTTTGAAAAGCCATAGAATGGATGCCTTCAGGGCTGTGTTTAATTGATGAGCATTCATGTAAGTAAATATTGCATCTATCATATGGAAGATATGACAGTGGTTTTCCTACGAACTTGGCTTCGCTTTCATCAATCGTCACAGTTTACCGAAAATGGTTATAACTACTATTACCACTAATAACGTGAATGGAATAGAGTGCGCCCGCTCACTTTAAGTTGCCTATACTTTTAACTTACCGAATATTTTTGTCACTAACTTAATATAATGTTGAAACTTCGTTAGCTCAGACTGTACACTTAAATTAAGTTTTGCATTGACTTGTGGATATGGAGGTAAGGAGTAGCGGTTCCTGATTTTGTCCAATTAACTTGATAACCATGCCTTATTTTGCGAGGAGAAAGATTTGTCTTTTTCGGTTATGATGTTATGATTCCTGCTGACTTGAAACGAGCGGTCGAAAACTGTAGGCTACTGTAGTGAGTTAAGTTTTATACTTTCGCTAAAAAGTATTTGCTTGTTAGCCGCATCGCACGCCCAAGGTACTGAGACGTGATAAAATGTACGAAATTGTAAGGCAGATTCCCCATTAACAAGGTATCGGAGGCAATGTGTAGCAGCCTTTGCGGTTCCCGTAGCGCCTAGATCTTTATAACTGTCAGTGTTTTTTACCATGCTCTTTTATATATATGCCTGGATTTTAGGATTTTCCGTTGTGATCACGATTACTTACAAGATATTAGAATCACAAATGCAGATATTTTATTGTTTGGGCACGTTGCATTCCCCCAACTTCGTTTGCTTTACACTATGGCACTGTCACATATTGGGTCATATTCAGAGTCTACTTTACAAGTGAAGATTTAAACTCTGTAGTCTTAAAGACTTCAAATGCCTCTTTTTTGGTTGAATAAATTTCTTTGGGGACTCATTGAGAATCTTCATCTGTAATATTGTTATTACTATTTAAATAAAAGTAGGTGTTACTATATGTTGTTAAATTTTACTTTTCAAGATTTCGATAATTTGTTTACTGCGTACCCCCAAAATGCTACCGCTGTTGTTCAGATGGGTTTACTTAAACCCACACTTCTGCTGTATGTTGAACTTCCTTGATACATATACTACGGAGGGTGAGACACATAATTGCAGTGTGATGCCTTGAGTTTAGTCACGCGTTTTTGGATACCTCCAAAATTCTAGCCAGACGCTTCTCTCACTGCTGGCTAGTGTGTGTGTCTCTACCTATTTGATGCCATTTGTGACTGGGTGATACGATTAGGCTACGCCTTCGATTTGCGCTTTTGCCATTGATAACATTTACTGTCATTTATCTGCTTGAACTTTT